AGTTTGTAATGCTAGAGAGAAGCTACCAGAAAAAGCACCGGTGGTTAATTTGCTCTGAATTTCATTGAATATTTTAAATTTTTATTTTTGTATTCATTGTAAATTGATTGGCATTTTCTAGTTAAAGTTATATCTCAGTTGAGAGAACACTTCACAATGGAAGGTTCAGTGTATCTTATAAATCATATAAGGATTTGGGGAAGCCCTATACAGAAAATCAGTCATACTTAATGTTAACTTCCTAGTGTGCAATACTGGTTATATAATTTAAGCTACTATTAAAAAGTACTGTATTATCCTTTATAACATTCCAAGTTTCAGCTACTGTGGTCGATATATTTTCCATCAATTCCTAACTATGGGTGAATAAACAAATTTAAATAAATTAATTAAAATTTCATAGCTCACTCTTACTAAAGTTTTGAGTCACCTCTCTTCAGACTATACATTTTCAGGTACACTGTTAGCAATTTTTATAGATTCTTGTGATCTTAAGCATTTAAAGTGTTATGTGACTTGGGGCCTCCCTGGTGGTGTAAGGTATTAAGTCTCAGCACTGGGAAGCTATCAGCAGCCATTGCAGCATGAGTTCCATCCCCAGCCAGCAGTTAACCCACATGGTGCAGCAGACCTCTCCTGTCTCACCTGCTTCTCCACTCAGGAGTGTATTTCATTGGATCTGCCTAAGGTGTATATATATATATATATATTAAAATTGCATACTATTATTTGTAGGTAGAATATCAATTCTTTTGGCTCAAGTGTTTGCTGTCTTCTAATTGAGACTAGATTAACTTCACAAATTTTTAAATGGTTTAAAAGTTTTCTTAAACTATAATAAGATTAAGTAATGTATAAGGGAATCAATAAGCAATCAAGATTTTTCTTTTTCTATGTAAATTTTCTTTAAATGAGAAACATTTACACATGTATGGATTTTAAGAACACATACTGAGAAATCTTATTGTTGATATATGTAAAGCCAAACAAGGTGGGAAAAAAAACTCTTGCCACTGTATTCTACCAGGTATTTTGAAAAGTTTGATTAAAAGAAAAGCAAAAAACATTCCTTTTAAATGCAAAGATGAGCATGTAGGAATGTAAGTATAATCTCTAAGGTTTAAAAACTAAGAAGAAACTAAAAACTAAAGTAGAAAAAGTATGGATTGATACTTGACTTTTCTGGGACAATGGCCAATCTTTTGACTAAGAGGCAGCATGGTTTTACTGTCTAATCTGAGTCTAGCTGAAATGTTAAGCCCAAGCAGGTATTGGAACTGAGACCCAATAAGTTGATCCTTGAGAAGTTACATCTTTAATGAAAGGACAGACGAGAAAAATTGAGTTTTCAGTCAGGGAAAAATGACAAGTTTCTCCAGGCCAGCTGAAAAAAAATTTACCGTGAGAATTCATAAAATAAAGAACCTGCATTCACATATGTCTGAGATTCAAATTTGAACTGATTACATGGAGTCTTTTTTTTTTTTTTAAAGATTTATTTATTTATGCATACAAGAACTGGGGTACAGGCTAGAGGTACGGTTGGTGAGAGGATTCACTAGAGACAGAGCCAGGGAACAGAACAGGCAGATGACTGAAATACACTGCTGAGGGGAGCAGCAGGCGAGACAGGAAAGGTCTACTGTGCCATGTGGGTAGCTCCCTGGCCACCTGGGGATCGAACTCATGCTGCAGTGGCTGCGGATAGCTTCATAGGTTGCGTCATAACCCTTTGCGCCACCAGAGAGGCCCTTTATTTATTTTTTGGATAGATAATATACAGGTTATATGACGTGAAATTCAAGATATAATTTTTAAACATGATATAAAGTTCAAAATGAACAAAGACTCTGAGAAGTCTCGCTTTCCCTATTGTTCCTCTCCACATTTCACCCAGAGGCTATGGATTGCTTCAAAGTGTGGTACTTAACCCCTTGAGCCACCAGGGAGGCCCTGATTACATGGAGTCTTAACCTAGAGTAGTAATATCGCTACGTTACTTGAACAACTGAGGATATTCAAACAGACAAACCACTGTGTAAGATACCCATGTTCTGTATTGCAAGCTACATGTAGAAACACACCATCATGAATGAGTATCAGCAGCCAAAACAATATGCAAAATTAGATCCTCCATAACTCTGGTAAAAGTAAATTGAATTGAGCTCTAAAGTAAGTTATTTTAATAGACTCAAAAGACTAAAAATAAAAGCTAAAACAACAAAATGCCAAGATAGTATTGGAGAGGGTAGTTGAATGTTGATTTGATAAAGACCCAAAAAGAACTTCAAGAAATGAAAATGCATTGCAATTAAAAACTAAATGACAAGTAACAAATGCTGTCTTTCTCAGTCATCTGGCTCCAGATACTTCAACTTGTCCTTTGGTTCTCTGTACTTTTGGAAAGGGATGTGTTAGGAGAATAACCCAGTATGAAATATTTCTCCTGCTAGGAATCTGAATCCTTCTGGACAGGGTATGTCACTTTGTAGGTGGTTGTGGCACATAAAGTTTAAAAAATTAATATGTGCTTCTTGGGAAGAAGGATTGTTGTGGAACAGCATGTATCTATACTGTCTCAAGTAGTGTGCCTTTAGTTTTAGTTCTTGATAATCTGATAGTTTTAGTTGATGTAATTTCCACTTTATGAAAATAAGTCACCTCATTAGAAAAAAGAATAGCCAAGAAAGTTTAAAAGATAAAGCTTTGGAGGTATTGCAGGAAGTTCAGTCCTATCAAGTAGAAATTATTTTAAAACTACCAGCAACTAAGGAAGTGATATTAGTGCAGGAATAGATGATTTAGAATAGAATAGAGACTCCAGAAGTAGAACTTATATGAGAAGAACTGATTGTGTATCAAGTGGTATTGAGGTTATTGGTTGTTAAAAAAATAAGTCACAGCTACTCCTTCTTTTACCCAACAAAATTCCACAATAAATACCAACACATGTGGCCAACACAAGTTATATTTTAAGTGAGGAAATGAGATAGAAAAATTATGGCCTCATATTTGGAATAAAGACTACCTACTACAAGTAAAAGGTAGATATTGAGCTACTGTAAAACAACAATACCTGTAAATCCAAAAACATAAGCAAGGTGAAAATACCACAATTTGAGGAGATATTGTAACTCATAAAACCAGTAAAGGAATTCCTACAAATTAGATAAAGCAACAAATAATGATTGGACAGCTCACAGGAACCTCAAATAGCTTGCAAAGAAAACAGAAAAAGTTTATTCATCACTTATAAGTTATTCATAACTTATTTTTGATGCTGAAATATGAATTAACAACACGATTTTTTATAATCATTAAATTGACAGAAGTTAATGTTTGTTAATACCAGTTGTCCTTCCCATTCCTACCCCTTATTCTTGAAGAACCACTACCCTGAATATGGACATACTATTAAAAATTTATAAAATGATGTCAATACATACATTCTTTGGAAACTTGCTTTTTGCATTGTTTAAGATCAACCATGATGGGAACATTACAAGGGAACATTACAGGATAGCTACCATATTATTGAAACTTAGCCTGGTTCATTATCACTGCTGTGCTGTTACCCATTCTCTGACTATATTACAGTTTATATACTCTTCTACTGATGAATCTTTAGTCTGTTTCCATTTTCTGCTATAATACTGAAATGCAATTCCAATGTTAACCTTCTTGGACAACATTTAAGAGTCTCTGAGACTAGAGATTATTAAATTGGGATCCACAAACTTCCTTAAGTAAGGTTTGTGAGCTAGTGTGAAAATAAATCTTTATTTTTTATTAACTTTAAGTTGAAAAATGAATGTATACACATAATAGCATTCAGCATACCTGTGATTTTTATCACTAGCAGAACTGGCTATTTCTGTATCACATACAGTATTTGCAGATATCTCACACCATCATTTATACTATTCATTACTTTGAATTATGATAGCTAGATGATCTTCCAGTTGTTAGTAGGATGCCCTAGTAGTGCATATTATATCAATTATTTATCACAAATTAAAAATTTTGATAACTTTCATTGTAATTACTTTCTTTTGTAATCCTGTGTATTTTATTATGGACTTAATTACTCTAGCCTTTACTAACATTCAGAAGAGACAAAAAATATTTTAAGAACACTTAATAAGAGACAATGGCTGATAGTAGTATTGGTGGGTCATAGAATAAAGGCATCTTTGATTCTCATAGGTATCAACAAATGGCTCTTCAAAGGGACTCTACCTATTTACCTCCTAAGAGCAAATGGTATTATCAGATGGGAGGGACAATTAGTTACTTAGATAGTTTTAGATTATATTATTATTTAACTGTATGAGGAGCACATTACTTTATTGTATGCCTGAAATATTTCATTCAAATATGTATTTCTTGCTTTAGCAATATAAATATGGTAGAGATCGTTTCCTTTTTAATCTGTAGGACAATTTAAAAAATACATAGGCATACATATATATAGGACATTACCAAGGGAAGAACAACAAATTCTAAGTACTTTTCCACATTTCATCTCAGATAAACCTGGTAGGTTATTTAAATCTTACTACAATCCTTTGAGGTAAAGGTATATACTCATAAAGGAAATTCTAATCCAAGCACAGACAGAACTGGAATTTACCTTTAAATCTTTCTTCCTCCTAAACCCATACTGATCCATGTTAAATTGCATGTCTTTAGCAATAGATGACTTATTTGGATGTGGTAAGTTAACTGTCCCTACAAAACTGTATTGTGTCTGAGGCATATATTAGCAGTAAAAATACAGAGATAATCTCAGGTATGGCCTTGTAACCCAGAGATTTTTTTAAATACACATTGGCCTGTTCCCATAGTGACAGACTACTTAGCTGTTAGTAGTAATTTAGTGTTACATTGTTCTTGTTTCTACAGTATGTTTAGCAGCCAAATGTAACTGTGTGATTTGGCAAGTTTTTTTAAATCATTTAAATCACATTCTGTTTTTTGTTTTTTGGTTTTTTTTTTAGGATCGAAAGTTAACAAAATCTGAGCGGCAAAGATTTAAAGAAGAAGCTGAAATGTTGAAGGGTCTTCAACATCCCAACATTGTTCGATTCTATGATTCCTGGGAATCTACAGTAAAAGGAAAGAAGTGTATCGTTTTGGTGACCGAACTTATGACATCTGGAACACTTAAAACGTAAGACCCTCAATGCTATAAAGCTGACCCAGGAGTATGAGATAACTTGATTTTACTTATTTCAGGCTTTATCAATCCCACTTTTTTGCCTAGTATATTAAACTGGGAACAATCCCTCTGTTAGTATATTAGCACATTTTCCTGTCCACAAAGTCCTCTAGCATATAAAGTGACCTGATAACTATTTATTGGTAAGTATTCAAATGAAAAGTTATTGTAAACTAACCCTAGTTGCTTTATCTCGCAGTGATTGGTCTTTCTAAAATTGAGTGGGTAGGGGATCAAAAATCAGATGACAAGGTAGCCCTCTAGTGGTTAAAATGAGGTTGAAGTTTATGGAGAAAATTCAATGTCAATTATATGAAATTTCAGTTTCATAAGAAATACTTGTAATTCCATTCCCACAGCATCATAAGTTGAAGCCAAAACAGCTAGATCTATCTTACCTTTCAGGAATACAGATAGCTTAAATACAGAAATTCCCAGTTACCTATTATTAAGAGTATTAGTTAAGAGCTAGACTATGCCTCTGGATTTCATGTCTCTTTGAGTAGCTGTTTTTTACTCAGAGAGAAAACTACTGTAAATTATGTATATGAATTATCTCTGTGGTATTTATTCTTTATTAATTTCTGTAGTTAATACTACTGAGCCTTTTAGTCTCAGATTCTTGAAAAATAGCTTTCTATCTCCTGGATGTAGTCACTTGTGTGTGCCGTTGGATGCTCAAGATTAACACAGTGAAAAGACAATATATTATTTCCCCCTTAAAAATTTTCATTTTTCTTATCCAACTTCTCTAATTATATTTATGCCGATGTTATTTTCATAGTCATCTGGGCTTCTTATTATTCACAGATCTGTTTCTTTCACAAGATTGTGCTCCCTAACACTATGCCTACAATTTGAAAAGTGTTTGAATAAATTGTGTGTTAGTAGTTCTGTGTATATCTGCATCTTCAGACTCTTTTCAGTGGTTTGGGTTTTCAGTGGTTTGTCAAAAGTCTTGTCACTTACACACCCTACAAGAGTATCCTAATTTTAAAAGTTACATTGAAAGGCTTTGGGTAAAAGTGGGCTAACCCCCTCTGAAAGGGCCTCCTCTGACCAACAGTCCAACAGTTTAAAATGTGGAATATGATTAGTCTTTTTTCAATATTTATTAGCCAAGCTTCAAAGAAAAGGTACCCTCTAGATAAAAAGCATAAAAGTAATTTGAGGTAAAAACAATATATTGGGATTTCACATCAGATACAGGGTAAGAATTGTCCATGCAGAGACAAAAGAACTTAAAACTCATTAGAAAGGGGAATTGGAATTTAACCTGTGTGAAAAAACTAAGTTATATGTGAAGAGGGAAAACTGCACCTCAACCAGTGAAAGCTATGAGGAGTTTTGCCCCTTTGCCCTGGACTTTGGACTCAAAAGGAGAATTCCCTATGAAAAATAGAAATTTTAGGGCCTGCCAGGTGGCGCAGGTGGTTGAGTGCTGCTCTGTGAAGCTGTCCTCAGCTTCTGCAGTGCCAGTTCCATCCCCGCTGGCTGAGGAGCAACCTACATGACAGGGCAGACCTCTCCTGTCTTGCCCGCTGCTCCCCTCAGCAGTGTGTTTCAGTTAGTCTGCCTGTTCTGTTCCCCCACTCTATCTCTGGTGAATCCTCTCACCCTCCCCCACATCTGGCCTGTGCCCCGGTACTTGTATAAATAAATAAATCTTTAAAAAAGAAAAAGGAAAAAAGAAAAATAGAAATTTTAGCCATGGTCATATGTCAATGACTCAATAATATTATTATTCTGTCACCTTTAACTTCACTAAAAGTAACGTTTAAGGTTACTGAATCTTAGTATTCTAAATTTGATATTCCCATCTCAGTTATGCTAGAATTTAATGAAATTCTTCAAAGCAGTAAACTCATATCACTGATAACCTGTTTGGTATACCTTGCCTTTTTCTAGGTACCTGAAAAGGTTTAAGGTGATGAAGATCAAAGTTCTAAGAAGCTGGTGCCGTCAGATCCTTAAAGGACTTCAGTTTCTTCATACTCGAACTCCACCTATTATTCACCGAGATCTTAAATGTGACAACATTTTTATCACTGGCCCTACCGGCTCAGTCAAGATTGGAGACCTAGGTCTGGCAACCCTGAAGCGGGCTTCTTTTGCCAAGAGTGTGATCGGTATGTTTCAGATGTACCTTGTAGCCTTAAGGCTTTCTGACATTCCTTTTATTTAGAACCTAGTTCTTGTAGAGCATTTATTATATGAAATAAACCTTCAGAAATCCACAGCTTAAACCCAGAAAATGATCAGTTCTATTTATGAGATGTGGCTTTCTGTTTCTAGACTCATCTTGAAGACTAATGATGCTCTGTAAAGTTAAATGAAGAGAAGGTGAACTTTGTTGACAGAATCTTATATAACTATCAATCTTAGTGAACTATTCTGTTGATACTTAGCATTATATACATATTTACATAATAGAATGTGTTACTTTCTCCATAAAAGAAATTAGATTTATATGGAGTTTAATAGCAGTCTCACTTTCACATATTTATATGGAGTTTAGGAGCAGTCACTCACTTCCAAAATAAGTATGTTAGATATATATGTATATTTAAAAATGTTTGTTAAAACTTTATTGTAGAATGTGGAAATGTCATAGTTCATTCTGAAAGCTTGATTTTTATCAGTGTTTTTCTTGTTGCCCTTCAGAAGTTATGATACATAAAACAGGATTTTTCAACCTCAGTACTATTAATAATTTGAATTAAAAATTCTGTCAAGAATAACAGCTGTCTTGTGCATTGTAAAATTATTTGTTTGCATTCCTGGCCTCTAATCACTAGATGCCAGAAGCAGCCCCATATTTTTACATCCAGAAATGTCTCTGGATATTAGTGAACGTCACCTGCATCGCAAAATTGCCCCATCGAGAGTCACCAATCTGTAAACGACAATGCTGTCCTTTCAGACTTTTAACTATATATTAGAGTGTTGAAGCTGGGAAAATAATTAATGCTTGTTTTGGTAAGTTACCATACCTTGAAGAGGATATAAAAATTTGAAAACTTGAAATTTTACTTTACTCTCCCCCAAAAGTGATAATAATAAAAGAAACCCGTTAGTTTTTAAGTAACCAAGAATCCTGTCAATTAAAAAAAGAATAGTACACCAGTAGTTTACACATCTCATAAAGTAGTGGATCACTGGACTGTTGTATAACTTGAATTTGGAATGCTGTTTTTACATCTTCTTACATAGGTTAACAAGAATGGGAAAGGAGTTCTTTCAAGCAGAATTTCCTTTTTCCCTTCCTTAGAGGAAACATTTCTTTGATTGTCGTTAACATCTTAAAAATCTCTGGCTCAAGAGCTTTTTTGTTTCTTTATTAAGTCATAGAATACAAAACTGTTGTTGGAAATGTCCTTCATTTTGAGTTATCAGACTCACTTTCTTTGCAAACATTAAAAGACCTGGTCTGTGGGAACATCCACTTTGTACCTGTAACTCAGTCTGTAGTTGACTCTTATTTGTGAATATGAGCTTGTTTTTTGCCTGTAGGATGTCCTTCACTATCTTCCTTATGTGTATAGTAGGCTTATTTGTGTTCTGCAGGTGGGATGATAAGTATGTGAAGAAAAGGGCTCTGGTGAGTGGCCTTTATAGACAATCACACTTTATTAATTTAAAAAACATTAAATATGGGTATTTCATTGCCAGGACTCCGTAAAAGTGAAACTGATCATAGTGTCAATGGCAAGAGACTAGCTTTAAATAAAAAACTAACAACTACCATCCTGTAGGGGGCAGACAAGTATTTTGATCTTTTTTCACCTGTCAGTCTATCTTACAAATAGTTGCCATTTTATGTTCTTTATTCCTTACTAGTCTTTTACCTTTTCCTTCTGTTTTCAGTATGAATTATATCAGTTTATCCTTTATCCAGGAATTTATTTGAATTTTCATAAATAAATAGACACTTGACTCTGTATCAGTTTCTTATAAAGACCTTGCAGTGGAAGATCTGTAAGGTATTTGATGGAGCAGCCTGACTAAAAAGATTTCCTTCCTCTCCCCCACCATACCTCACCCCTTTGTCTCTCTTTCTCTCACAGGTCAACCCCTCTGTGTGTCCCTTATACAGTAATGACTGCAACTTCCTCTCACATTGAGTTCAATTGTTCTTTTAATTTAGGTACCCCAGAGTTCATGGCCCCTGAGATGTATGAGGAGAAATATGATGAATCTGTTGATGTTTATGCTTTTGGGATGTGCATGCTTGAGATGGCTACGTCTGAATACCCTTACTCAGAATGCCAAAATGCTGCGCAGATCTACCGTCGCGTGACTAGTGTAAGTCTCCCCCTTACTGATTGGTTAGCTTGGGTCACATCTGGCAAAGAATCCAAAGCTGGGTAACATCAGCTATGCAAAAGAGAACAAAAGTAGAAAGCATATTGAGGTTATCAGGCAAGAGAGAGTTGAGGTATTTTATTGCTCGTGATATAGTGAAAGCAAAGAGAAAGATAAAAAAGCACTAGTTTATCATGGACTCTCTTTGCCTTCATTTAAGCAAAGAAGCCAAAGGTGTGTGAGGTGAGAGGATTCATTTTGAGTTAATTTTTTTGTGTGGCATGAGGTGTGTATCCAACTTCATTCTTTTCTTGGTACTCCAATTGTCCCAGTACCAACTGTTAAGAAAAACTATTCTTTCCCCTGTGAATGGTCTTGGCACCTTTGTTGAAAAGCAGTTGAGTATAGGTACATGAGTTTATGTCTTGCCTTTCAACTCTGTTACATTGATCTGTATTTCTGGATTACCATTGCTTTATAATAAGTTTTGGATTGGGAAATGTGAAGCCTATTTATTCTTCAAGTTTTGGCTATTTTAGGTTCTTTGAGATTGCATATAAATTTTAGAATTAGCTTGTCAATTTCTGCAAACATGTTAGCTGTGATCCTGCAGACATGTTGCATCTGTCGATCAATTTGGGCAGTATTGCAATATAACTATAGTAAGTCTTCTGTTTCATGAACCTGCATTGCTTTTTTACTTACTTAGATCTTTTGTTATTTCATTCAACACTATTTTATAGTTTTCAGGGTGTAAGTCTTGTAATTTTATTAAATTTGTTCCTAAGTAATATATTTTTTGTAATGCTGTTTTTTTATTTTCAATATTTGAATACTTTTTTTTGTATATTGATTTGTATATTGAGCTGAAATTTAGCTGCCTTACTGAAATAACTTATTGTTTGATTTTAGTAGATTTTCTAGGATTTTATAAGATCATTTCATATGCAAATAGTTATTTGAAAAATAAGACTTGGTAGTTGATACATGCTTTACCTATGAGAAAAAGTAGAGAAAAAAAAAGATCAACGCTTAGCCAAATTAACAGTTAAAAAACTAAGACTGGGAAGTAGTTAACTTCTGATTTAAAAAAAGTCATTTTTGATATGTTATATTCCAGTTCCATTGTAATTATATAATCTGTGTATGTGAGAGGAGATGAACACACAATTCTCAACTTTTTAGTGAAAAACTATGAGTTTTCTTATTTGAAAAAATTAGCTGTTGGAGTAATTAAATTTCTTAAGTACTTTACTTTTATGGTTTTACTTTTCCTAAAGGTAATTTGCCCCTTTTTTCTAAATTGGTTAGGATTTTATTTCCTTTCATTATCATCATTTTGCTAGAAGTGACAGAATGGTTGATAATTAAGATTGAATTAAAACAAGTAAGAACTACCCCATTGTCTTTGATAGATCTTATACAGATCCAAATATGTGGATCTTAACATTTTTTCTATCACATCAGATTACAACAAACTTATCAAACCAGCTCATATTAATTGATTTTTCCTTAATCTTAAAGATTTGAGATTGGAGGAAAGGAGGGACACAGGAAGTTACATATACCTGGAATTTAAATTGGTTCACAAAATATTTAAGCACCAGATCTATGTTTCCTAGTACTGCCATAACAAAGTACCCCAAACTGGGTGTTTTGACCAAATAGAAATTTATCAGCTGATCTCACAATTCTGAGACCAGAAGTCCAAAATTAAGGCTTCAGCAGGGTGAGACTCCTTCCTTGCCTTTTTAATTTCCAATAGTTTGTTGGCAGTCCTTGGCATTCCTTGGCTTGCATCTGCAACACTTCTTTGTCTGTCTCTGTTAACAGATGACGTTCTCCACTCACCTGTCTATCTCTGTGTCTCCTTTTGCAAGGATACCAGTTACATTGGGTGAAAGGCCCATCCTGTTCAAGGATGACTTCATCTTAATTAATTACTTCTGCAGTGACTCTGTTTCCAAATAAGGTCACATTCTGAGGTATTAATGGTTAGAACTTTAACATACCTTTTTGGAGGACACAATTCATAACTTATAACAGTTATGGTTTCATCAAACAAATTCTGCCATGCCCTTTTTTTCAGATTCTAGGTATATGAATATCATTGTTGTTATTAGGGCATACTAGGGGAAAGGAAATAAATAAATAAACTGCACAGTTATCATGTTGTATAAAAGTATGTTCCTTGATAACATACTTTTGAAGAGGTGTGAACCTATACACTGAATCACATACAGTACTGTAAACCATGCTTTACAGTGGCAGAATTGTTGAAACAATTGCAACAGACTGCAAGTATTCAAAAAGCCTAAAATATGTACTGTCCACTTCTGAAAAAAAAAATTGTTAACTCTTATTCTAAACATGTCACCAAAACTTATAAAAAAAAATTTTCTCTAAAGAGAATCCTATTTACTAAACTACAAAAGTGGTGATAATGTTCTATTATAGTACTATTAGTTTCCTTCTGTACAGAGTAGACACTAGAATCTCTGTGCAAACAAGTAGTACTTAAGTTACTAATTGTTAAATTATTAGCTCTGAAAATTTGTGGGCAGTCTTTTTTCTCTGTGATGAGAACATAAGGTTTTAATGTAAACTGGACATATTTATTCTTGTTATTAGCCTAAGAATAAATAACACTTTAAAGAAACTCAGTGTTACTGCTTGAGATAATCATTCTGGATTTTATTTTTTATTTTTTAATTTTTTTAAAAAAGATTTATTTATTTATTTACACAAGCACTGGGTACAGTCAGAATCACAGGAGGGTGAGAGAATTCACCAGAGCCAGGGCGGGGAACAGAACAGGCAGACTGATGAAGAAATACACTGCTGAGGGGAGCAGCAGGCGCAGCAGGAGAGGTCCGTCACGCCATGTGGGACCCTCGCCGGTGGCCGGGGATCGAACTGGTGCCGCAGAAACTTCGGGCAGCTTCGCAGCCCAGCGCTCAACCACTGCACCACCAGGGGAGACCCCATTCTGGATTTTAAATACAAGATTTTATAAACCAATAACTTTTATTTACCTTCCAGTGTGACAATGTTTTGATACCAAATAGACTAGGGACATGAAATATATATAAGATAGCCATATATTTAAATTCTCTCAGCCACCAGCTTTCTTTGTTGTTCTTGCATTATTTCTAATTTGAAAATGAAGTAGATTTTGTCAGGTACAGCAGACAATTAGCTCTGGTCTTAGAGACATTGACTAGCCTATCTTCATTATTTATTGGTAAGTGTTTCTCATTAATCTGGTGAAGTTAACACCTGATTACTTTTCTACAGAAATAAAATTTGGTACTTTAAATGTGTCAGGGGATCATGGAGTTTTAAGTTTCTTTATATAAGATGAAGTATCAAAGTTGCCTTTCTGTTTAAGAAATCAAATTAAAAGTTATATACGGGCCTCCCCGGTGGCGCAGCAGTTGAGCGCTGGGTTGCGAAGCTGCCCGCGGCCTCTGTGGCGCCGGTTCGATCCCCGGCTGCTCCCCGGCCACCAGAGGAGGGTCCCACATGGCGTGCAGACCTCTCCTGCCACCCGCTGCTCCCCTCAGCAGTGTACTTCGGTCCTTCTGCCTGCTTTGCTCCCCGCTCTGGCTCTGGTGAATTCCCTCGCCCTCCTGCGCTTCTGACTGTACCCAGTGCTTGTATAAATAAATAAATAATCTTTATTATTGATAGCGAGTTTGTGAGTTTGATCCCCATATAGGAGGCTAACTGTGAGTTTGATCCCCAGCCAGGAGGCTAATCCACATGGCACAGCAGATCTCTCCTGTCTCAACCTGCTGCTCCCGGTATCAGTGTATTTCAGTAGATCTGCCTGTTCTGCTCCCCACTCTGTCTCTGGTGAATCCTCTCATACACACACACACACACACACACACACACACCTCTGGCCTACTCCCCAGTTATTGTCTACATAAAGAAAGAAAAATAAATCTTTAAAAAAGGTTTTTAAAAAATAAATTAGTGGGCCTCCCCTGGTGGCGCAGCAGTTGAGCGCTGGGCTGCGAAGCTGCCTGCAGCCTCTGTAGCACTGGTTCTATCCCTGGCCGCTGGTGAGAGTCCCACATGGCGCGCAGACCTCTCCTGCCACGCCCGCTGCTCCCCTCAGCAGTGTACTTCGTCATTCTGCCTGTTCTGCTCCCCGCTCTGGCTCCTGTGAATTCTCTCGCCTTCCCACGCTTCTGACTGTACCCAGTGCTTGTATAAATAAATAAATAATCTTTAAAAAAAATAAAATTTAAATAAATAAATTAGTTTGATTTTTAAGAAAAGGCACTTGAAATTCTAGTAAGTAAATGCATCATTATTTGCAAATGCAAACTCAAGTTCAGTTAAGAAGAAAAATCCCCTTGTTTTAAAGAAAAAAATCTTTGGTGTTAATTTACTAAAAGACCAAGGTCACTGTTTCCATATTCTTAGTATAGTGTTCAAACTGTTTTCAGGAATTGTTCAATGGGTTTTTTAAATTAAGATAAAATTCATAATTTTAGTCATTCTGAAGTATATAAATCAGTGTGTTTGGGTATATTCACAGTGTCCTGCAGCTATCACCACTAATGCCTGATATTTTCAAGGTTTATCCATGTCAAGGGATGAATCTCTACTTCTTTTTTTTATAGCTGAATAATATTCTATTGTGTGGCTTTACCACATTTATTATTATGTTTGACAGATTTTGTTTCCCTTTAATTCGGTAGTTTCTTCTTTGTTTTCTCAAAGAAACTGTTTTTGTTAAACTCTTTGAACCTTATAGCCACCTCACTGGGAACAGGAAGGTTGTGATATATATCATCTTAAAAAATATTGTCCTTGAAACTTTTTCTCTCTCAGCCTTTATTTTGATATTCCACAGTAGATGATGGATGGTTTAATTTACTCTTGATAAGAACCTACCAGTAATTATTTTGTTTCACAGATACCTGGCAGGTCAAAAACATACTCAAATTGAACAAATACCCTCAAATTAAATGCAGGGAATAGTG